CCGCCTTGCAGGTGCCTGATAGCGGTGGGGTGTAGGGGGAAGAGGTGATTAAACCGAGTCTCTGGCACCCGATAAGAGAAGGGGAGCTCCGGGGAGGCTGCTCTGGCCGAGGTCCCCGGGAGCCGCGTGGGAAGTGTGTCCTGCAAGCGAGGGTGGGTCCTCGATATCCCGGGGGTGGGAGGGGGCTCTCCCCTTCCCCGCCGGGCAGTGTTCGTGTGGAGCGCTGCTGGAGCCCTCTGCGACTGCTTGGGGACGACATCGAGATGCCGCTCCCCACTCGGATGCTTGCACTGGCCCTCGGGTGCTTCCTCTTAGCAGGCGCTCGGGAGCTGGACCTCGGGCGCTTGAAGTCACTTGGGTGGGTGAGTTGCCGAAGTCCTTCCAGTGTCGTGATCTGCTGCTGGGAGCGGCGTTTGCAGGGAGGAGTCGGCGCTGGAGGAGCCCGTAGGACTGTGCTCGAGCCCCGGGAGAGGCACCTTTTAATGTGCGTTTTTGTATTGCTCAGGGAGGAGGCTGCACACGCCGAGGTCCCCAACAGCGGTGCACGTGTGCCGAGGTGTACACCTGCCCTCAGGTGTGTAGGCAGGCTGTCACCCAGCTGGCGAGGTCTTGCAGTGATGGGCAGCGGGAAGCTGGGACCGTTGGAGCTTGCTGGCAGCCCATGTGCTCTCACTCTCGGCAGTGAGGGGCTGTTGAAATGCTCCTGGAGGTGACGGCTCCTACAAAGTGCTTCCTCGCCCCTGCAGCTGGGCGCAGTGGGAGCTCGCCGCGGCCTGGGGTCCCGGGGTCTGCTCTGTGCAAAGCCCGGTGGCCTGTGGCAGGTGTTTGCTAGCACCAGGGTGAGATACCTGGGGAGCCAAGCAGGGCTGGGTGGCAGCTGGGCCCCTGTGGAGGGTGAGTGGACCTCAGCAGACATGCTGCTGGGGTGCTTCACCCAGGGTGGGTGTCCTGGCTCGGGCCGGAGTCCTGCGGGCAAGGGATGCACAAATGCATCACAAAAGGGTGAGCAATGCTTGCGGGATTGGAAGTTGACCTGAGGAAAGGGGATGAGCATGAACTGGAGGATCACAAGGAAATGGTGGATAACCTGTAGCTGCAGGTGGGAGAGGTGGGATTTGTGTCCTTCCCTGTGACAGCAAATTGCCTGAGTGCTGCACAGCCCCTTCTGCCAGGCTCCCACCCTGCCCTGTGAGGTTGGGCGCTTTGCACAAGGGTTAGTGATGTTCTTGAACTTTAAATTTCTTCTGAGGAAAAAAGATCAGTTTTTTAGTTGCATCGCGAGAAACCTGAAATCTAATGATACTGTTTTTGTGCTTTTCTGTGAGCCTTAAGCCTCTTTGTGGTGCACAAGCATCCTATTTTCATGCTAAGTGAGGTAATTTAGTGCTGGCTGATTCCCCCGAGTGTTGTTGCTCTGAGGTTTTTTTTGGCTGTGTCTAGAAGGAGCAGGGCTGAGAAATGGGCCAGTACACGGCATAGCTGGTGTGTGCTGGGGGTGGGAGCAGACTCCAGGTGTAGAGAAACCCCCAGAGTTTCTCTAGTTCGGTGGCTTTGTGAGAAGAGGCTTTCTCAATCTTAGATTAGTCACTGGGGTGATGGATCTCTTAATTACAAACAAATGTTTTGCTAGTGTACTGCAAACCTCCCTGCCCCAAAGTCACAGGGGTGCTTGTGCCCCGTCCTGGCCCCGGGGAAGGTGTGAAGCATCCTCCCCTTCCAGGAGGTGGTTCCTGAAAAATGTGCGAATGGTTGCACGCGCTTTCTGTTGGCTCCTTTCTCACACAATTGGCCTGGTTTATCTGGCAGCTAAGGTGGAAAGTACCCAGTGACTTGCACGCTGTTATTTTATATATCCTTTATGAGGGGTTGAAAAGCTGCACGTAGGCTAAGGGAGGTGAGTTGCATCCCATTAAGCACTATAGCGCTAATCTTATTGTTGCACTTTTATGGCTTTTCCTATTTCCTTCTGTGGAATCAGCCTATAACAATAACTTCAAGAAAGTGGGAGCCACTCGCCAGTGGTGTCTGTATGACTCACTTTCAAATGTGCCCTTAAAGCTGCTGCAGTGTAGTTATACTGTAGCCAAAGAAAATTCATGTGGGGCTGTAGTTAATTCCTGAAACTGCAGTCACCAGAGTGCCGCTGGGTCGTCGGCGAGAGTCGCCCATCTCCATCCCTGTAATGCCTCGGCCCTGGTTGAGGGCTTTAACAAAGTGGTACTATGGCAGTGGCTGGGAACAAAGACAGCTCAGACTCTTGCTTTTAGGGAGGAGAGCAGCAGTTATGTTTTGACTGTGACGGCTGTGACTTTCTGGGTTCTTTTTGCAGCCTCCTCCTACCCTGCTCTGCCACGAAACCTGGAGTGGCCGCGTCCCTGGCTGGCAGCGCGGGTGTCTAATGAAAGAATGCTGGTGCTATTCGGTACCACATTTTTCTCATTCTGAGGATTTCCTGGCCGGCACGGGGTGTCCCGGGAGCGTTCCTAAGCACTGCTGGTGCAGGGAGGATTGGCTCTGCTCCCTGGCAGAGCATGGCTTGTGCTCAGGGTGGGACTGTGAAACCTGGCAGAGGGACTGAGAGCCCCCGTCGTCTCCTGAGACCCCAGACAAGGCTGGCTGGGGGGGCTGACAGCCGGTGCTGCAAAAAGCCCTTCCCCTAGGGCCAGGGGCGTGAGCAGAGTCTGGGGCTGTATCTCCAGCAGTGCCTTTGCTCCATCCCCAGCTCCTCTGAGCTGGAGGGACAGTACCTTGTACTGTAAGGGCTGCGCTTTTTAAGCTTGTTCCTTTTGGGTGAGTCCCTTCAAACCTGCCTGTGAAACTCCCCAGGAAAGCCGAGCTTTTCTGCAGCCCTGCAGCTCCCTGGTGTGAAGCACCAGTAGAGCTGGGTCAGCAGCAAGACGGGCTGTAAGCACAGGGTGGGCAGCTGCCAGACCCTGCTGCCCAGGGATGAGCCGTCCTCTCATGGGGCTGGTTAGAGAGGGGGCTCTGGGTGCTGTGTCTGGGATTGAAGCCGATCTGAGCCCAGAGGATGCCCATAAGAGCTGCTTCACGTAACATTCTTGTAAATTGCCTGCCAACCCTTCTGGGTCCGCTTGCAGGGTTTTGGGTCAGAGGGCTCCAAGAGAGCTATGGCCACAGCTAGGCTCTGGTATAGAAATAAGCCAGGCTTTCTGCCTTGGTCTTGTTGATAGTGCAAAGTCAAGCTTAAGCAAGCTTTCTTGTACCAGTAAGATGCTTGGTCCTTGCTCAGACAGGCTGAGCATCACTGGTGCTAATAACTGGGTACGGCAGCGCAGGATGGGAGCTTGTCTGGTATCTGGTAGGCAGAAATAGCTGCCTGTCTTTCTGCTTGGTTGGTTGTTCCCCCCAAAACTCCTGACAAACCATCCCAATGTCTCGCTTTGCAAGGCGGCTCGCAGCCTTTCACAGCCCATGCACCATGGCTGCTGTGCTGGGAGCCATCCTTGGGTGGCTGGGGGGCTCTGTCCAGTGGAGAGACCCATGGCGGGTGTCCAGGGAAGGCCTCTGGCCCTGCTCAGGGAGCGTTGGCAGCCGGCAGGGTGAGTGGGCTGCTCCGTGCCTCTGCAGGCTTGGGCTTGCACCCGG